TCTGTTTCCTCATTTGAGATGTTTATGTGGTGGTTAAATCTATTCAGTATGCGGACTAAAACAATTAATTTTTCAACCAACAGTTTCAACATCTTCAAAAAAAATACGTGTCCTTCATATGTCGCTTTACAACACCGGAGGCAGAAAATGATCATCCACCACAAAACTTCCCAAAAAGTCCATTTTAATTGATTCCCCAAATCGAAATCCCCACATGCGTTTGGGCCTAGCACAATCACTAGGTGTGAAGTGCAATCTTTACCTGTAGGCAATAAAATGTTAATCCATTGACACAATTTATTACAGGCCCATAAAACAACACTCTGGGAGTCAAAGTTAAACCATTATAAAAGATTTTCTAACACCTCTTTCGGTTTCATTCAGGCGGTGAGGTGCCACAGCAAAACCGTGTTCTCGGGATGCATTATCAAAATCGTAAAATTTCGCTGGAAGCCAAATGTTGCGGGGAAGAACAAAATTTTGTATTAAAATTTTAATTGATACCATTAGCATTTCAACAACGATTACATAACGTGTCGTTCCTCGAGCGATTGAACATACCGAGAACGGCTTTTATGGACCAAAAACGATCGATTTTCTTATTAAACAGGCCGTTACGTTTTATGCGATCGGTAAAAAAGTTGCTTTCCTTTATTGACTCGCTTATCGATAATATCTCAAAGCAAGGTGCAGCATATTTACGCCAAGTGACCAAGTTTGTTCCTAAAGTTTGTTTTGTGTCGCGATATTTCCAATTTAATGTCAAATCGATTGATCGCAGTTTTATTTGCAGGCTTATGAACCCACAAAATTTAAATCATGCCCGAATTGGACACCGAATGTTTTAATTAATTTAATTTTCAACTTACCGATTAGTTGACGTATTTATCAACAAACAATTTAATTGTACTACCAATAATAACCACTGACTGCAGTTTAATTAACTCTTATAAAATCTGATGACAATATAATGAAAGTAATTAAAAACGTCGATTTTTTTCAAATATGATTGACTGCAAATTAAAACTTTCTCACATATCTTATATCAGACCGCTCGAAAATTGCCCGTCATTGCAGAAAATTACCACTTGTCTTCTGAATTATTAAATTATATTAATTGCCTGTTTAGTTTCATTGTTTTCCTTTTCGTACGATTATAAAGTATAATTTTATCACGATTTATTGCTTTTAGATAAGCAAACTAAGCGATAAACAAGTTCCTTAAATTGGAAGCAAATTTTCAACAAGATTTTTGTTTGGACAATAAACGCAATGAGATGTGCATATTACTATACAGGTTGATCTATTCAAATTTGAATAGATTTTGTCCAATCAAAACAGCTCTTAAAAATCTTAACTAGCTTGTCCACAAGACTTTGATTCTTTGATCTTTGAATATAAAACTAACTTAAAACTTAGTTTTATATTCAAAGACACAGATGGATAAATATAACCTGTGAAACGAAATTTTGAATCTTAAAAACAATTTGAAATGGACTCAGATCGACAATTCTATTTTTTCAATTTGATCCACTTTACTGATGAATTTCATCAAACCACAAATCCCCCAAAAAAAAGTTACACATTTTGGATTGAGGTTTTTGCTCATATAGACTCATAAACACCGCTTTGACCTCACAGTTGCGTAGCAGGAAAAAAAAATAATTTAATTGAAGTCGAGATTTATTGCCAAAACATGAAAATGAGAATCCTGCTGTTGGAATGAAACGGTTTAAATTAGAAATAATTACAGACTATTGCAGAGCTGAAGTTGTTTTATCGATTTCGGAAGGATCATAAATTATGGAGATGCAAAGGAGCTCGAATATTAATGCAGATAACTTGGCAGAGACAAAACCATCAAGAACCAGACAATGAATGGCCACCTTAAAAAGGCATAAACTGCTGTCTGAAAACGTGTACAGTTTAATAACACGTATTGTGTTCAATAGGTGAAGATATTGACAAACCACTGGTGATTTTTTCGGTATTTTGGGCCCTCGTGAATAAGAATTTCTTCCTGACCAGCTCTGAAGATGCACGCCACTCGTGCTTGCGAAACATCAAGAAGCAAACCTCACCAGTTCAAAATAATTGCCGCAAAAGTCCAACTTTGCTTATTTAAACATTTCATAAAAGCTACTTGAAACGTTTCGGATGAGAAGGAATATGCAACAAAAGTGATTGCTAAGTTTATTGAGGATTTAGCAAAGCAGTGTGAAGACACTACAAAGTTAAGTCAAACATACTCGCGTACCTTTGCCGACATCAGGTGAACGTCTTCTATGACAAAGCGGAAAAATGCTGCTAGCTGAAATTGCTTGTAACGGCTTAGGACCTGTTTATATATTGGTCGACTGAAATATTTCCTTGATACGATCAATTATTTCATGTGCTGGAATGAATCCGATTTACACACCCATTTACTTTCAGGGAATAATTGAATACTGGAAGACTTCTTTGTGCTCTTATAACAAGGATTTTAGCTATTTTTTCTAACAGTTTTTTTAAACTTAAGAGCGGCAATATATCAATTTTTCAATGTTTACAATTTTCAATTTTTCTAGTACGGTATTTTATACTTTTTGCTGAATTAATTTGCCCGTTGAAACAAATGTAAACATTTCAACTGTAGGAAATAAAATGCTGCCGAATAAAAGGACAGCAAACGGTTAAAAGGATAAAAGTCAATCAAGTCAAAAATACAAATAATGCTTGAGAAATTACAGAAATTTTATAAAGAATAAATCAATAATTCTTGCGTGTAAAACCGTGTATTTATAGTTTATCAAATACTTTGATAAACTGAGGGAGTTTGTATCAATAACTATCAGTTGTAGATCTTCATTAAACGTTTGAAGCAAAGGCTTTTCAGACTTGGTCTCGAATTTTTCATTGCTCAATAGCAGGCCTGTTTGTATGGATCACGCACTAACATTCCTTAGATATCAACAATGTGGTTTCCTTTATATTTAATCAATCTATTATATTAAATTATAAGTTCATTGTTGAAACTTATTAAACAGCAAAAAATTGATTTTATTGTGTTAAACAGTAGAAGACCCCTAAAAAATTTAAAACGTCACTGAATATATGTATTTTACTTACTTAGACGATTTCTGAGTTCAACAGCCCTAAAAACAACCTCGGAAAAAACGTTCCAAGTCTAACAAAAGTTGAAATTTAACGCCTGTAAAGAAGAGAACTTTGCTTTAAAAAACCAGCAAAATCATAGGTTTTGGTTCACAAACTTTCCATGAAAAAATCGATATGTTACATGAAAAGAACCGAAATCCAATCGAGGTTAACAAAGCAAACTGGTCAACTTATGAGCTCCTTATGCGGCCATCTATCACTGAAATATTACGGTATTTTTTAATCAGAATACTAATTTATATACCAGCTATGTTCTATGACTTATTTCTGGCGATCCGAAGTAATAACGTTCTCTTCCATCATGGTTACACATTATGATTGGCTTGAATGAAAAAACCTGCCATTACCGAGTCAGTAGTTTATTATTTCCGCTCAAATCTATACAGATAGAGACTTGGAAAAATTGAAACCAATTCAGACGTTAAGCAAGGAATTTCAGTTAACTTTAAAAATTCCTTGTCCAGGTGTTCCATGAAGTCAAAATTTTTTAATGGCTTAATTACTTTCATAAACTACTATGGTTTGCTTGTGAGTAATTTGAGTTAACTTAAAAAAAAGATATAGGTACAATAGTAGTAGTTCTATTATAAAATAAAATAAAAACAAAATCAGAAATAGATTAATTTTCAACTGAAAATATCGACAAAAATATTTCAGATGGAAATCGAAAGAGGACTTTTAGTTCCAGTTTTTTTTAGTTGCGTTCCCCTTCGCCTCTAATGGGAGTTCAAACACATTTTCCGATCTAAGATTTTCCAATGTTTCCCAGTAAAAGTTGTGTTTTTTTGTTTGTTTCAGGTGTTTAAAAACCTTCAACTAGTCAAAAATGGGTAAATCGACAGTTTAAAGTTAAACTAGGTTAATTTTCAAAATCAGTCGCTTAAGTTGTGGAGTGTCCGTCCGTTTATGTTGGTCGATCTGGGAGAAAAATTAATTTTAATAAACATAAAAACTCTGATGTCGTAGAGAACAATTCAGCTTTAGCAACCCATTTATTAGCCTCTGGTCACTCATTTCCCGGACATCCACCACCAGAAAAATAAGCATTTTTCACGAGAGTCCATGAACAAATGACCCCGATTTAACTTTTTTAACGTTTTTACATGAATTCCGAAACTCAAAAAATATATTTTACTTTGTCAATGTTAGTACCTACCTACTTGCGTATGAGGTCAATGTATTGTGAACATCACTTAAGTTTTGTTTCACTTTTTACCAGAATGTGTGTGCAATTGATGTTATTATTTGTATGTATATCTAATGTCTGATGATGCCTAATATCGAAACCCGGCTTACATATTAAATAACCACATACTTGAGACTTTGCGTTTTATTCGATATTTATACGATAGAGCAACAGGTAAGCACTGATGAGACAGAATCTCATAATCAGGTTCTAAAGTTGTTGCATACTTGAATGCACAGCTTTCTCAGGATCTTCAGCGAGAGGAACCAACTCTCTAAACCTCAACCCTTTAAGGTAATTTCAAGGAAATTACTCTCTTATTTACATTTTGCGTATTGACTGTTCTTTGCACAGTCCCAGGTTTCCTGGGGCTTTTATAATTGGCTTCGGCCGACTTATTCGATTAAGCTTCGCTTACATGACCGTTCAGCACCCAAGTAAGCATTCAATAATTAACAAGGTAGCTACGGATGTGGAATAATGTGGCAAATCCGGTGTTTTGGCGCGTTTTGATAAAACGCGACCGCAACGTGGGATTGGCAAACTAATTAATTTCACTTCTGCATTTCCTTCTGCTATCGCAGCCTCCTGCCGCGTGCTGCTTATCCGTTGAGCGTGTCAGCGTTGGTAATCGAAATGGAAACTAACGAAAATTTACCTGCAAAACACTCAGCAGCAGGAAGAACAGCAAGAGAAAATATCCATGGGTCATGCTCCTACACAACAATCGCCACACCACACTGCACATCATCACTAAGAAAGTATCCGCAGGGCGGATTCAACAACATTGAGAACATCCACCATCCAGTTGTAGGTCACCAGGCAAAGTCAGCGCTTGTAAGTCCACCAGTAACGTCATTCGGTTGGTAACCAATCAACCCTTCAGTCTCATCGGAACATCCACAGGCAATCACTTTTTTGCGAAAAATGTTCTCAGGAAAGTTCAGAGTGGCAAGTCGATTGATGATTGATTGATTGAGAGAGGAAAGTTAGTAAATAACAGCTACTTGGTGGCTCCGGTTGAAAGGCTAGCGGTCGCGGTAAAAGCACGTCACGTCGACGATTTATCGTCGTAACTTTGTCGGAACGGAAAGTCGAGAATCGGGTGGCACGCAAGACACGAACTCTTCAGCGTACAGACAACTACTGATGGTTGGCGCAGCCGCGGGGCCTCCCTCTCTGCTCCTCGGGGCCGCAGCATCCCGCTGGACCAATGGTGAAGAGCTTTGGGGCTTCTTTGTGAGGTTGCAAGGGGGCACGCCTGAGGCTGCGGTTGTTTGGCGCCTGAGGCTACCACTTGTTGCCGCTGACGCTCCGTTTTACCTTTGGCTGCTGTGGCAAGCGCAGAGATTGCGGTCTTATTGTGTGGTGGTGAAGCCTCAAGCTTTTCATTTTCGAACTAAACTGGTTTACGAGTTCAACTATTGCTTCTACGGTTTGTGTCAGCACGGCATCTATACAGGGTTTTACGGTTTTCCGCTAATTTCATTTGTTATGTTTCCATATAAAAATTAATGCCTAGCACAAGCTGAATTGCTCTACGACTGAGAGTTTTTCTCTTCCTTTCTAATATGGGTGCCCATATAGGTAGGCTAAGGCCTGCTTTGCCCTATTAAGCCTCTTCGAACGTTGAAGTCCAGCAACCTCCAGCGCTTTGGACGTCTGCCTTGGGCTCGCTTTCCGACAGGGTTAATTGTTTTTGCGATTTTCACCAGTCTGTTGTCGTCCATTCAATATTTTCTTCTCTGTCCCCCTCGTTTACCCCATTTGTAATGTCCTGTCTGAATTTTAAGGCCCCTAATTAGAGTCTCCTACACAATATTCTTTAAATAAACTCAGAAAAGAATCAAGAAGCGTTAGGTCGGGGCTATTTGGGGGCCATTGGGTAGGACCCGCTCGAGATATTATTATAATATTTTCATTAAAAAAAGTACTACCGGGCGAACGTTATGGGGTGGAGGGAGCGCCTTGTCCGAATGTTAAGGCTACTTTGATTAGTTGCAATTTATAATTTTTAAAACGTAATGGCTATTACAAATATAGGGTGTCCCACCGGGAACCGCCGCGATTCATATCTGGCAAACTATAATTAGGAGAAATTTGAAAATTAGACAGTGTGCCGAACTCATTGGGCGCAAGAGGTGTAAAATATTTTCGACATGGCCACTCTTCCGGTTATACCGGAAGTGGTGTCAACTTGCTTATTTTAAATGGAAAACCCTATATATTATTACATTTTTTAGTTTTGCTGCAAATTCTAAATATATTCCATGTATAATGCCCTATATCTAGGTCTAACGGTTTGATTTCAAATTGCATTTGAAATTATATTATTGAAAAATTATTAATTTTTCCTATAAGGGAATATGTGCTACTTAATTTAAGTCGCATTTCTTGTTGAAAATGAATTACTTTAATGGAATTTCTACAAAATTTTGATAATTATTAATACAGTGTTAAAAAAAAATAGTTTTAAAAGAAAGTTGAGAAAACCGCCCAAAATCAATTATTTCAAATGAAAACCTCCATTTTGTCTTATTTAGTATTAACGATAAGGGTGAATTTGTGCAAAGTTGTCTATTCCAAAAGTGTTTAGTTTTCGAAATATTGTCAATTTAATATTTTCACATGGTTATTGTGTCGCATTATTATTTTAAACCCTGCCCCTCTTAGTTGCCATTTTCAATACAATCAAATGATAAAGTAATGCTTACAGCTATCAGTTACCTTTTGAAAATAATTAATCATACACGGATTATTAAATTATACGAACGAACGAATAAATAATAAACTTATTTATTATTTATTAATTCTTCTTTAATAAAAGCACTCTTTTTTATTATAAATCCGTAATTAAAGACGAGAAATATATGTCTTTTTAAACGGCTGAACTTTTTGAAGCAAAATACCTAACAAAACGATTTCGAAAACATGAATCCGCCTCAACTCTAGAGGACTTTTCTGCAATCATAAATAGGTTGCACATCGAATCTGTCAGTCCAATGCGAAAAAAATTGTGGATATATTCTTTCCTGAAGTGGCATTTTTCCACATATAGGGCAGGAAATGGTCGGATTGGTCAAAAAATTGCAAAAAATGGCAGAATAGTTGTAGAATTGGCGTTGGATTGTTTCAATTACGCAAGATAAAAAAGAGATACCGGCCAATATTCACAATGTTTAAAAATCATTGAGCCAACAACGATTTTCTAAATCATTTAAGCATTCGAAGATTGTCTGGAATGTGGCCAAGGTGTTAGTGGGAAAACTTTACTTAGATGGGATAAATTGCCTCATTCTTCATCTATTTCATGTTTTTCACGTTCCACCTATTTTGTGTGTAAATAGTCGTTTACCTCGATATCCACTTTATTTCATACTTTATACTCAAAATCATCAAATGGTCTTTAAAAAATGTAAATTTTGCGTCTTACCTAAACCTTGAAATACACATTGTGTTTCACATTTGAAGCAAATGCAAAAATTCGAAACTGAACGGTTTTCTTCGCAAAGTTTTATGTAATGAAAACTGGCTTTTACGACATGCGCCAGTTGTTTTACCCATACAAGATAGTGGCGAGCTTGGGATTTGCAATAAAATTTCGTCTCTAATTATCCGCGTTGGCACAATCGGTACATATTTTACACTGTACGTGCGGTGCGGAATTTCGTATTGTTTCTATTTTGTCGTTCGTTCTTAATGATCCAAAATTAATTTGAAAATTACCTAAGACATTGGCGTGCATTGAATAACATTTTCCTTTGCATCCACTAAATCAATGAACACGTGTTTCTAATAATAAGTGTATTTCCTTTATGGAACAGTATTTTTAGTGCTTAACTAACCACTTTTGTCGGTAAAATGAATACACCTTGAGAAACGTAAACCAAAGCAGACTTTGTAGCTCGACCGCGAAACCCTTACCATATTGCAAGAAGGATGTTACGCATTGTGACGGAAAAATGTTCTATATAGACTTCCGTCTAATTTACTAGTAAAGTAAGGGACTGATTTCACTGTCAATTTGTTTCGGATTCCAGATTTAGCTGCAAATTCATACAGAGCATGCATTCAGCACCAAAAATGTCATAGAAGCTGAAAAGTATCTCACTGGAATATTAATAAAGACAGAATCTAAGTAAAACCATGTTATCCGATCGACTATTAGAAATAAAGAAGCTAAAAATAGCTTACATAACCGAACGCTTTATTGTTGTCTGGAACCGAGAACATTGCCAATGAGATTCTTTTCACCAAATACGTGAGCTATTTTCAAAAATTTGAGCATTGTGCGATTTGCGTCTGAATGTAGTCTTGTTGTAGACAATCAGTGTCTACAAAGAATTAGATATTAGCAATGCAACAAGTGATTTTCTTTGAAAAATGAACGTAGAAGCTTCCCAGAATTCTGGCCAACTTGAACAAATATAATTTAGAAATTATTGATCTAAATTGATTTGACCATGGTGAATAAGGGAGATTTTAGTTTAATTTTTCAAGTTTTTCCTGCATGAGTTCATTACTTACCAGGCGAATTTCGAAATTCAAAGCAATTGAATCTTTATCTCACAATAAATAATGTTGTTTACATTCATTTTCTGTCGAATACCTTTTCAGGCGAAAATAGTCCAATAATCCATTTGTTATTATATTATTTTATAGGTACTTGAAACTTTTCACAACTTTTTATCAATACTTATAATGATGTAAAGATTTGATGAATATTATTGCTGTACGCTTACGGGAAAAGTGCTTAAAAGTACATTTGAAATGCTATAAAATAACCATAAATCAGCTTGCAACTTATTTCTTCGTTACCTTTTTAAATTTAGATCTTTTAAAGTCCAGCATCAGTTGACAACTGAATTTTCAACATCGTTTTTTTGCATGTAGTTACACTTACACAATAACAAATGAAGGAAAGGTTACTATTAAAGCTTCAGATAGTGTTTAAAAGTAATGTATTATTATTATATTTTCAGTTCTTCATATTATATTTTAAAATCCTATTAAGCAAACCGTTTATGGAAGACAGCAACTGTTCAATCGCAAACAGGTGCAAAAAGTGCAGGGTTTAGGCCCCAAGTAATCACCAACAGTGCAATATTGTACATGCCTCTTGGAGAAGTTTAACCAAGATAATGAACTTCCTGTGAGAACGTTATTTTCGGATAAAGTTCAATTTCGTATGGGCGGACTGATCGACTTGCAACACCCATAATCTTACCATTTATGCGGACAAAATTCCCTGGTGTAAAAAGCAACATCGTGCACAGATGCATAGTAAAACTAAGAAAATTTGGGTGATTTTAAATTCTGGGAATAATAACGATTTCCATTTGGCAAAACCACAGAACCAAATTCCTCTAGGTTCGTTTCAAAGACACTCACACTCATCTGTCCCGCTTTAAGTTATTATGCCAAAGAAACATATGGAAAGCATTTGTATTTGAAAACCTGAAATTCTCAAATGGTTGTGAAAGTGGCAAAAGAGCCAAAGAGGAACAAACACCTTCCCCACCTGTTTGTACTTAGGCGGAACTCCAACTAGGAATAGAAACAACCATTCTAATGCCCGTGAAAACTTAAACACAATCAAACAGAAGATCTATTGCTGTCCCGAATCTGTCCGCTCGCATCTGTTAAATTTGGCCGGACCATATTTAGTTCCTGAAATAGCCAAACATGTGCTAAGCCTTCAAATTTCAATTGAAAAACCCCCGAGGTTACCGGTCTAGAATGTTCACATGTATTTTCCCTTAAATGCTTTGCGGTCGAGTTATTCAACTGTAAACGGCAATTTTTTAAATCTTTACTGGTGGTCATTAATTTTTTTATCTTACATTGGAAACCAATAAGAATAAAAAATTTATTTCCCGCTATAAACAAACTCTGCCTGTGGTGCTTGAAGATGAGTTTGCCTAGAATCTTAGATATGTCGAGTTTTTAATTTCAAGATTAAATAGGTATATAAAATGTCAATAGTAATAAACGAAAATATTTATTCTTTAGGTGTGGCGAATTGTATAACCCTCGTCCACTATAAAATGAAAGGGTATAGTATGGTATTTAAAACGCAACTTTTTGCCAAAAATTTTAGGCAAAAATTTGCCTAAAAAGTAGTATCAAATAATAATTTACAAAAAAAGTAATCATGGTGCATACATAACAACAACTAAATAACAGGTTATGTCTTATAATTTACTACTATAAATCTTTCTCTGTAAGTATGTTCAAAATATCGACGTTATTCACATTTTTAGACCTACTTTCAATTTCTGTCTCTAAAAATGTGTTTTTTCGGGCTTGAACGGCCGGATTTTGCAGCTTGACTGCCCTGAACAGTGCCCAAACGTCTCTTGCTATAATTGCTTATTATTTTTGGACATTTGCTTCATATCAATCCACCAGACGAAG